AGTGTTCGTTGACCACCAGGCACGGAGTAGCTGCTCGGCACAGGACGGGGGAGAAGGTGGGGAAGATGCAGGCTACCCTCTGGATGCCAACACCTGTCTGCTTCCTCAGGTGTATTCTCTGGACTCCGCTGATTCTTTCCAAAGCTTCTACAGCCCCCACAAGGCTCAGATGAAGAACCCCATTCTGGAGCGCTTGGCAGAGCAGATCGCAACCTTGTGTGCCACCCTGAAGGAGTACCCCGCCGTGCGGTATCGGGGGTAAGGCCGGGCTCTGCCACTCGCCCTGCCCTAGAGGCTCCCTGGCAGCTGTTGAAGCAGGGCAAGAGCTGAGCTTCTCTCACTGACAAGGATGCTTCCAGGATTCTTGTTGTTTTACAATGTTTACGGTGAAACACATTGTAGGAAAGAGTAAACCCTGCATGTTCTTGGCGTGTTCAATAGCTAAAAGGCAAAGCCCTCTGAAGCCGCCAGCCAGGTTCCCTTCCGTGTTCAGTCTCTTTAACCTCATGGAAAAACAAGGTAGCTTTGTAGCAGATGGTCCAAGTGAAACACAAAGCCCGAGGGAGACTCATTCTCCAAAGGGGATCGTCCTCAGTTATAGGAAGTCACTCTTTGCCAAGTGCTGAGGGGGCACAGAGTGGAGGGCACAGTCTGTCCTTCCTTAGGATGCTCCTGGCAGGACCGGTGAGACACACGCTCAGGTAGCTATGATGTGGGGCCATGAGACCAGTCCCTTAGGACCATGCCAGTTAAGGTGGGGGGGTCCAGAGTCCGGCGAGGCCCCTGTGAGCTGGGAGGGTCAATAACATAACGGCTTCAGGCTCGAGAGAACTGTTTGGGCTAGGTCTCCCCAAATAAGTTGGGATTTCAATAAACCAAAATGGCGGGGGACGGGAGGTGGGGCAGCATTTTGTATGGCGATGTGCCCTTGACATCGGTTTGAGCAGCCGTGTGGAGTGGGGGAAACGTGGGTCACGCTGTTGAGGTCTCTGTTGTCCAGCACACCCAGAACTGAGTCCTCCATGGTGTTCTCCATGGGAAACCTGGGCCTGGGGGGGATGCAGACCGTGGGAACACGGAGATGGGAGTGGAGAGGAGGGTCAGAGCAAGGAGAAACAAGATGGGGGGCTGGGAGTGCTAAGCAGGTGGCCAGGGCCTGAGGATGGCGGGCCGCAGTGAGCGTGGTGGGGAGGGGGCAGGCAGCCAGGCCCTGTCACCGTGTTCAGAGAGGGCTCAGTGGTACTCAGGCCCTGCTGATTGATGGGGGCGGGTCAGGAAGGAGTTCAGGCTGGGGCGTGGGGGGCGGTGCCAGGGATCTGGAGCTACTCTTGTCAAGTTTGCCTCACTGCCGTCTAGCTTTGAACCTGAGAGAGGCACCTCCCTCGACGTGGCCCCAGTGCCTGGCCTCCCTGCTCTGTTGGCGTGCCCTCAACAGCTCACAGCCTGTGGATGTTAAGAAATGGGAGCCGAGGCCCGCTCTCCTTCCTGACAGAGAAACAGAAGCGTGGCACACACGCACTAGAGGGATACGGAGCTGGTTCCAGGAGGAGGGCAGGGTGCTGGGCGGCCCCCAAGCCATAGGGAGTCAGGTGGAGGCCCAGGACACACTGGCAGGCTGGGCTACGGGAAGAGTTGAGAGGCTCTCACTGAACACTCTGGCTGGGCTGGCAGATCCACACCGATCACGGGGCCATCTGGTTCCAGTGTGTCTGGAGTGGAGAGGCACACTCAGCCGGGGGTTGCCCTGGGATGAACTGGCTTGAAGCCCTGCCCTTGACCCCCTCTGCATGGTGCCGCCTTCCTCCCCTGGGTGATCTGAGGCACCCTCGGGCGTGCAGGCTGCTCACCCTTGGCCTCCTCCTTTGCCAGGGAATACAAAGACAACGCCTTGCTGGCTCAGCTGATCCAGGACAAGCTTGACGCCTACAAAGCCGACGATCCGACCATGGGGGAGGTGAGTCTTGTCAAACAGCCGTGCGAGGACAGCCCGCTTCTGCTCGCAGCGGCCTCCCGTGAAGTGCTCAGAACCCTTGCAGCAGGGCTCACAGGCTCTCTGCAGTGTGACTCGAGGGGCCTTTGCCTGGGACGTGGACAGCCGAGTTCCAGGAAGCCTCTCAGAAGCGTAGTCTCCACACCAGAAAATGGGCACTGGAACTGTCTCCAGCCCTGTCTCAGAAGTGCCCATATCCATGGGCATGCGATGTGCCTGTGAGGGAGGCCTTCGCAGCCCCAGGCTGGAGAGAGGGCCTGGCCGCCCTGCGTGTACGTGGTTTGAGCCCTGTCTGCCTAGTGGGCTTTCGTTGGCCCCCTTGTCGGGCAGCAGACGCATACGTTCGGACCTCAGAGTTGGTGTCCTGTTCCCTGCCACCCTCCACCCCGACCAGAGGGCCACCCCGGTTGGAGGACCATGGCTGTGGCTTGAGAGCGTCTCCCTGTCCCCCTCCAGGGCCCAGACAAGGCGCGCTCCCAGCTCCTGATCCTGGACCGCGGCTTCGACCCCAGCTCCCCGGTACTCCACGAACTGACCTTCCAGGCGATGAGTTATGACTTGCTGCCTATCGAAAACGACGTGTACAAGTAAGTATGCAAACGGCCCCCAGTTGCTCTCACTGGAGAAGGATGCTTTTCTCCCCAGGAAAAGCAGATGGACTGATGGGGGCGCCTCACGATGCAGCTCTAGACTTTTCTGTGAGTTCCCAAAATCCACACGGCATTTCTAGCAAGGAACTCATGCTCCTCGCAGAGGAAAAGCAAAGATGTTAGGTCTTTAGTTCGCACTTCAGGGCACATACGTTCATAGCCAGGTGCAATGTGCTACCATATTGATTTTCACCCTCTGGTCTATCACAAGGTTACAAGTTCAAGCCCACCAGTCGTCCCTCAGTAGGAAAAAGCAAAGCAAACTCACTACCATCAAGTCGGCTCTGACTCACGAGGGCACTGCAAGACAACATAGAACTGCCCCTCTGGGTTCCCAAGACTGCAGCTCTTTACGAGAGCAGAAAGCGCTGTCTTCTCTCATGCAGCGGCTGGTGGTTTAGAACTGCTGACCTCGAGGTTAGCAGCCCAGTACATAACCAGTACGCTACCAGGGCTCCTCCTGAGGAGAAAGACGAGGCAATTTGCTCCGTAAAGATTCATAGTCTCGGAAATCCCAGATAGGGTGGCTAGAGGTTGGAACGGACTGACTGGTAGAAGTTGTTGGGGCTCGCTAGCTTACTTACACACGGGTCATACTTCTTTTTTTTTGGGGGGGTCATACTTCTTAATGACAGATCCCAAATTACGATGCCAATAAAATAATATCATTGGGAGGATCTTTCCAAACTTCCTCTGCAAAGGAGCTCCTTTCATCTTCATTGGAAAGGACATTTTCCTTGCTAGCAATGGTTGTCAGCAGAGTTTCTAAAATCTAATTTCCTTTTGACGGGAACAGGCTGGACTATCCTGTCATGTATTTCATGCTGTTGATCATAAAGACAGTGATGGTTTCACAGCGAAGGTTCTGAAATGTGAGTCACTCTCAGGGCCTCTCCTCAGTCCTTCCAGTTCTTACTGTCTTCTAGCTCCGTGTTTTCAGAGTGGGTGATAACACCCCTGGAGCAGTGGGGCGGGGATGGGGGCGGACGGCCTGGGGTGGGGGGAGGTGCTGGAACAATCCGGGGTGGTTGGTTTTAACTGCCAAGGGGCTTTAAAAAGTTCGTGGAAAAGCAGAATTAAAAGAGAATGAAATTTCTCCATGAACTTTTTGAAGCCTCCTCCTAAACTATACGGTGTACCGGGTGGCTCAGGTGGAGGGAACTCATATTGAGCCAGCCCCAAGGATTTTACAGCAAAATGTCAAGTTGGCTGGCCTTGATTAAAACTTTGCACCTCCCTGCCTAAGGAATTGCTGCCCGTGAGTGCTGACACCCGAGGCCCTAGTGACCGTCAGCGGGTCAGGTGGCGATGGTTGGAAGCACTCAGGTGACCCTGGGGAGCAGGTGCCTTTGTGGGGACAGCGCCCCCTGTCTGCGCCCCGTGTCCCCACAGGTATGAGACCAGCGGCATCGGAGAGGCGCGTGTGAAGGAGGTGCTGCTGGATGAGGATGACGACCTTTGGATAGCCCTGCGCCACAAGCACATCGCTGAAGTGTCCCAGTAAGAGCCCCCTCCGCACCGCCCGGCAGCTGATCAGCAGCTGATCCCTTGCTTGGGTGGAGCTTCTTTATAAACATCAAACGCTTAAACCCCGTGATTTACAAGCAGACTTTCTCTCATCTGTGCGGGCTGTGGATTGGTTTAAGCCGACCGACCGTATTGTAGGAGGAAGGTGAAGAAACCTGCTGTAGGTGGACAGCCGTGGACACCTGGGGAGCAGTTCTACTCTGTCCTAACGGTGGACGGAGGCAGGATCGGCCCACTGGCCTCGGGGTCCTTTTGGTTTGTTTATGTAGCTGCTGTTTCATCTTCCTCCCCTGCTGTCCCACCTGAAGGTTCCGAGCCAAAGCTGCTCACTGAGCGACATGTCACTGATAATGTTTCCAAGCGGTTCTACTAGCAATACATTCTAATACGGGGTTGGTTATAAGACGTTCACCCTGTGGAAGACAGCTCTGGGCCTCGCGTTAGTGATCTCCGCAGGACAGTCACAGGGAGGGCCGAGGACGGTCCTGTGGTTTAGAGAAAGGTCGCGAAGCCTTTTTGGTCACTCGACTTTCACAACAGTTGACCTATATTTCCCATATTTACAGCGGTTGGCGTTAGCGGTGTGCTGTACTGCAGTAGTGTATGTATTGTATAGCCTCCACTGCAGTAGTACATGTGCTTCCCAGCGTCCACAGACACGTGGATGTGCAAAGGCTAAGATAAAATACATTTGAGTATCGGCATGCCTCAGAGGTCTTGCAGGTTCCATTTCAGACCGCTTTATGATACAACAAAATGAGAATCTCAACGAAGCAGGTTACACACCTTTTTTTGTCGCCCAGTGCACGTAAAAGCATGCTGACACTGTATTATAGTCTACCGAGTATGAAAAAGTTCAAATTAGGATGAGAATTAGCAAAACGGGCACGCAGACAGGAAGAGTGAGCACAAGCCGTGGGGGAAGAGCCACCGATAGACTTGCCCCGCATGCGCAGCAGTGTCTGGGAAGTGCGGGGAGATAGGGGTGAGCTGCGGGCGTTCCCAACACTCTCTCCACCGCCCTGAATCTTCTGGTGCCCCTCCCCGCTGCATGGAGCCTCCTGGTTTGGAAGATTAGAACCGGCGGCCGCTCCTCCTCTTCTCGCAGAAAAGCACGTTAAACGTGTCGTTGGCTGGCTGGGAAGCAGCTGCCGCATATTCCTAAGGGAAGGAAATTGCACCCTTGTAGAGACTCTTGACGTTGCTTTGAAACTTCAGCTCTCTCCTCCTATTTTGCAGGGAGGTCACCCGTTCTCTGAAAGATTTCTCTTCCAGCAAGAGAATGAATACCGGAGAAAAGGTAAGCCCACCCTGGTACTCAGACGCCCTCCCCGTTGACCCTGCCTTCTCCACGCGCCCCTCAAGACCGGATTCCGGGGTCAGGAGCTCACATCCTCTCTTGGTGTAATGTCGCTTTTGCCTGGTTCTGATTCCAGATTCAGATCTGAAGCCCTCATCTTTTGATATTAGGGTCTCTTTTTGTTATTTTGAGGATTAATAGTTGCCTTTTTAAAGATGACAGTAGAATGAAGATTCATAACTTGCCCACGCCTCTCCTTTAGCATGAGTATCAGAGTTGCATACCCAATTCAAGTCCAAGGGAAGTGAACTTTCCAAAATGCAACTCTGAATGGGTCACTTCCCTGCTTAAAGCCACTCTGTGACTTCCCGTTTCCTCAGAAGGAAGCCTTACTCATAAACAACCCTCAGGAGAGCCAGCTCGTCGGCCCCACAGCCTTTTTTCTGGCCTCAGCCTCCTTCCTCCTGTCCCCGCTCCCCTCGACCCCAGCCATGCCAGTTTCTCTTGCTTCTGGTCCTTCCTTGCCTTACTAAGTCCTGGTTCTTTGACTTGGGCATCGCTCCCTAACCTTCCCTAACCACCTTTCTAGGCTAAGTGCCTTTGCTATGTGCACACTACAAGCTGGTGATTGCCCTTGCTGGCACTCATGCCACTCCACTCTGGTAGCTTGCTGATTCGGTTCCTTGGCTAGATGCTGCACTCCATGAAAACAGAAAGTCTTATTATTGCCCTTACAGTTACATCACGTAAAGGTACCTGGCCTGTCGTGCTAACTCGATACATGTGGCTGAATAGGTGAGTGGGAAGAGGTAGATCCCGCAGTTGGAAAGAAAAAGACACTTTCAATCAGGTTGCATTCAGAGTCTATGACCTTCTCCCTGCCCTCGCCCCAGAGCAGCCTTTCTGCTGGAGGAGATGTGAGCTTCATGCTAAGAGTGCTTGAGCTGAGTCTGCAGCGAAGCAAGCATGGACAAGAACAATGTGTTTTCCTGGCCACCGTGGTGCTCCCAGTAACTTTATAGTCTAATAAATAAAGCACCTGGGGGGTTTCAGAGTCCGCTTCTCCCCCTGTCTATCAGAGGAGGATGGTATTTGAAGAAGTACTTTTTGAGCCGGGCCTTAGAGAGCTCCACATGCCACATCCTTGGTCTTGTGTTTAACAGCGTGTTGCGCGTGCATTTGGGACATCTGGTGAGAGCTGTTATCCTGTCTAACCGCATCACCTCGTTCAGCTGCGTTAGAGCAGCGCCATTGACCGGTGCTTTCATTTCCTCGTAGACCACCATGCGGGACCTGTCCCAGATGCTGAAGAAGATGCCCCAGTACCAGAAAGAGCTCAGCAAGGTATGGCTCTCCAGAATGACTGTTTTGGAACCATGAGTATAAACACCTTCAGAAAGACTTCCCTAAAGTCTCAGTGCACTAATGTATTCATCGAAATCCTCAGAGTTTTAAGTCACCTTGAATTGTTACGAGGGGCAAAAATAACTGGGGTGTACAGCTTATTTCTTCTCGCTTTCCATTCTCCTGTTCTCCTGTCAGGAGCCGGGGTGGCATCGTGGGTTACGTGTTGGGCTGCTGACGCCAAGGTCTGCAGTTCAAACCCCCAATGTGGCTGGCTGTCTGCTCCCCCAAAGATGGACAGCCTTGGACCCCTAAGGAACAGTTCTACTCTGCCCTGCTTGAGTGACCTCCCAACATGGTGGGAGGGAGAGTGAGCTCACACACACCAGGAAGAAGCCCCGATGCATTTTGTGTCCCTGAGCTCAGACCTCATACCCTAATGCTTCCTGCATCCCCCAACCAGCCCATCCTCAAGAGAGGGGAACTCAGGAGGTCTAAGGATCCGTGTGCATCATACCAGTCATCTGGTAAATCTGTTCTCCCTCCTCGTAACGGTTTTAGAATGTGGTTTCCACTCTCTGCTGATGCCTACCATGTTCTGCCTCGTGATGGATGTGCACCTGCCTGCATACACCTCACAGCTGCTTCGTGAGCCCAGAGACGCCTTGGCGTCCACCATGGTGTGCTATAGTGGGGCGGTGCTCTGTAGATGGTGCTTGGATCGGCGACTTGATCAGTCCCTTGCTCACCACCTCTCTCGTGCTTTTTCCTAGTATTCCACCCACCTCCACCTTGCTGAGGACTGTATGAAGCATTACCAAGGCACCGTAGATAAACTCTGCCGGGTGGAGCAGGTAGGACTTTTTCCTCCCCTGGGCCAGGCTTTGGCCATGCCCACTTACTCTGCTGAGTTTGAGCCATCTGACCTGGACATCCTGCAGAATGAGTAGGGAGTAGAAAGCCTTCTGGCCCGTGTTGTCTCAGCGCTCCGGAGCCAGAGAAGTTCTGCCGCAGTGGTAGGGACTAGATTGGCCTGGAGTGCTGTGCTCCTTGACTTTTGCATGTCGGACTCTTCTCGCAGGCTCCATCTTCCTGGAATGGCTGAAGAGAGGCTTATGGGGCGCTCAGCCCTCCGGGGGCTCGGTGGGCTAGATTTTGCATCCTGGATCTGTTTCCACCCTGCTGCGGTGGCGGGTCCAGCTTTAGAGACCTAGAGGCAGGTGTGGATGGTGAGGTAATGGTCAGGAAACCTAGGGACCTTACAGATCTCCAGTAGGACTTGAGGTGTGTGAATCCTGTCTCTGTCACCAATCCACTTGATGTGCTTCCTTCTGCTCCGTTTTCCACCATGGCGACCCTATCAGACAGAGTAGAACCGCCCCCGTGGGATGCCCAGGCTGTCTGTCTCTCCCCCACAGAGTAGCTGGTGGTTTCAAACTGCTGCTCTTGCCGTTGGCAGCCCAGTGCCCCACTGTCATGCCATGTAGGGTCGCGGTGCGTCGGCGCCCACTCGATGGCAGTGGGTTTGGGTTTGGGTTCTGTTGTCCCCGGCTGCAAAGTGGAGATGACGGTGCTGATGTGTGTTTTCAGAGGCGTTGCCACCACTCCTGGCCCTGTCACCTGCAGGCGTGCCGATGGCAGTGAGCCCCGGGCATTGAGGGAGGAGCAGAACGCTGAAAGGATTCTGAAGCCCTAGCTGTAGCTCTCTCTTCACAGGAAAAAAGTGAAAAAGAAAAGCCATCTCGGGTTTTAGCTTGAAGCGAAGACGTAGATCGTCTGGTTTGCTGTCCCAGCCTTAGCTTGGGTTTGCAAGCCCAGCCCCATGACACTGACGATTTAATATGAAAAATAGCCTTACCGAGACCCATCGTTTTCCAAGTGCTCTCAGCAAGCACAGAATGCCCTCTGCAAAAGAACCCCCCATCCGGAAAGTAGGCTTGATTGTCCCCTAGATCAGTTAAAATGCAGGATTTGGGATTGACCCTTGGAGGTTTGAACTGTCTCAGAGATGCTCAGAGGTATGTATTTCACAGTCACGTTTCCTGTGGTCGAGAGAGACAGGACTAGAATCAAGTCCTGTGCCCACCCATATGAAGCCAGCCAGCGGGGACTGAGAGGTAAAGGGCCTTCGAAAGGTGCCCAGCCTTTTCTCTGACCCAGGCTGGGGGAAAAAGACCATGAACTCAAGGTCGTATGTTGATGGACTCCTGGGATCCTGAGAGAAACAAGGGAGTCTCTGGCCATCCCTATCAAAGCTACAAAGCAAGGGGTGGTAGGGGGTGGTGTGTGTGTGTGTGTGTGTGTGTGAGGAAATCTGCCCCTTTCTGGCCATCCCTATCAAAGCTACAAAGCAAGGGTGTGTGTGTGTGTGTGTGTGT